CGATAGAATAGGGACGCCGATGCTAGACCCACAGGCTCTGACCACAAATACCGATTGAAGACGCCAACAGCATCAAACGTCAGCTACCTGTTTCCACAATCATCTCTACTTAAGCCAGAAGACAACGACGTCAGATAGAAGGTATACTTATCCCTATAAAAGAAAGTAATAGGTCAGTCTACCAAAGAGAACAATCATATAAGTAGATTTATGTGGCCAATGGCGTTGTGAGGGTGAAGATAGCCAATAAGAATATTTTCTGGCCAAGGAAATAGGCGTCAGCGAAAATATCCAATCTCACCATAAACATATGAAATGTGTGACTACATACCAATATGACGATCTATCGCTTACTCACTGAAGTCATCAAAAGTAGAATTAAACTTCGAAATGTAAATAAACAGAATTATTATCCTGAAAAATGTGTGGCACTTACAAGACAGTATATACTACTAACTGATATGAGTAGTTAGAAGCAACTCGCATCAACTAGTGGTTTTCAGTATTCAGATCGAAATGGTCTAAACACCTAATTGCCGTGATGTTCGTTTAGGTTCAAGTTGATCAGTGATTTTCCCGATTAGATTCAACCAAAGGGTCTCTAGTACTTATGAAACACTAACACCAATTTACTGTTCACTCCTGTATATCCGACAAAAGAGTGACCACGGCAACCTGGTAACTCTAAACATTGGCAACACAAGTAGGCAGACGTAATGGCTTTGATCAACCAGTCAGATGGGCCAGTAGTAATTACGCATAATTCAAAAAGTCAGTGTTGAAGAATAGTTGTATGGGGTAAATTTCTAGTATACGTTCCAAGGAAACCTCCTAATTTCTTATTTGGAGTCTTCGGTGATAGTACAAACCGATCTCTCTGCATAAATTTTTCCAATCAACTGTGTATCCTTCTGTTAGTTTAGTTTACCTGAAACCTTCTCAAAGTCTGTGTTTTCCTCGACATTTGACCTATCATCACCTATTGAGAATGCTATATGAACCATACCATTAAACTATCCAGCCTACAAATGACTTCGTATGGGACCGATTGATACTTGCAACATGGATCGGTAGCAATTCATGTGAAAACTGTCGAACTTTAGGTGTGATTAGGTATAGTTATCTTATTGAAAAGTAGTGACTTTTGCAAATTATAGGTTGTTGTTGTTGTATTCCTAGCCCATTTCCTCGAAGACTAGCATTACTTGTGAAATTTCAGATTAGACAGAATATGGTGAAACCTTTGATCAGTTTGATTTGTCATGACCAGAAGAGTGTAACACTAAAAATAAGATTATCATCTTAAAAGTTTAGGAGGTGATGCACGAAACCAAGAGGGAGTTTAGTGATAGGATAATGGCTAAACCTGGAACCAACACTATATGCTAATATGCTGCATAGATAAAAGACTGTTTCCAATTTAGAGCTACTTTATGTGGAAATTGTAATTTTATTGGACAATCATTGACCTCATACAACAACCAATCAGATTAATTTATTCCACTTCTGACCTAGGCTAAAATTGTGTTAGAAATCTACGTATATCGATTTTTGTCTAAAATTAAGTCTTCCTTATATACACAACCAACTTTATTTTTGTAGTTCAATGTGGTAAGAGGTATTAAGGGAGAACAGTTTTATCATTAAACCCTTATATTAATCCATTCACAGTCATATCAAATGCCAACGGAAACTCATTTTATTATCATTTTCTTTTTTGTTGTGTGATATCGAATTCATTTTATAACTGCTACAAGCTGAGAATGAAGTGCTTTCATCACAATTAATTGAAACTGTTACTCATAAAATGCTATTTCATGTGCATATATACGTGGCATTTGTTTTCTGTCAATTCAAACAGTAGGCCTGTGACGATTAGGGTGTTCTGCATCGGCGGGACAGCGGTTAGAATGCTTGCCGACCATACACACGGTCCAGTGTCCGATCATCGACCGACGCACATCTGATATCATTGGTCGGCTTACAAAATTTGAGCCACCGATATCAAATGCTTAAAATTCCATATTTGTACCAAAACACGGTGTGGAATCAAGCTGTAATCAAAATAATAAGGAGAAACTTTAATATCCTGTGGTCAATTTTCAAAGTACTTAAACACTGAGTATCAAATTTCTTGCGGTCACCATTGTTCGAATCTGTACATATCCTTTTTTCTGATCTTATTCCTTTACATTCCAAATGGAACAATATAGATAGCTCTTCGTAGTGGAGCTTTGAAGTTTTAGGAGAAGTGTAGTGGTGTGATGCAGATAATACGTTCCAACGGAATATGGTTCTCACATATCCCCACAGTTCACTACTACATTAACAACAGAATACTATACACGCATATTTGAAAATTGTATTTCATGTTGTTTAATGTAAGCCTAAATCGCATGCTCTGTGATTGGTTAATGAATATAAAACTGTATAGATATATAAACAGAGGTTTGATCACCTGAATATATATACCTTTGCTTCCGTGTCTTGCCTTCTACCCTTTGCAATAGTAGTAGTATGGTGAGAGCTGGCTGCTGGCCAAAGTTGATAGACAGTAATTTACCTCAATGTTTATGTCCCAAATATTGGTCGTGAGAAAAATAAGAACAAAGACTTTGCATAGGCGGATACAGTTAACGTGTAGATGATCTGACATTCAAGAAACAGTCACAAAGAGATGCAAGGTTAACTTTCAGTGAGAAACAACCAATCAGAAGAGTGTGTTTGTTTGCGTGAATAATCTATAATAATGTACATGAAAATCTATAAATATGTGTTGATTTCCTTAATAAACGATCTGTTGTCTGACCCTTGTCTCCTGTTGTTATAGCAGTTGTTGTTGTTGTATTTTTACTTGGTGAGAAGGTTAGCCTCATGCCCAACACCTTCCATTTTTACTAGCCTTACTACCGGTGGCATAGCGAGGTTTAGGAGTTCACTGGCAGGGGATCGAATTCTGCGCCACGTCAGGTGTGGTAGGCAAGTGTTCTACAGCTGAACGACTAATACACATACTTACTCTTTATAGTGAAATAATGCATTATGCTACCCTCAAAAATTCGAATTTAAATTTCAACTTGAAACAGTTTCAAACCAGTATCTTTTGATTTTTATGGTGTAAAAGTTTTCTTAAGACAGTAAGTAGATCGTCCTTCTAAGAAGCTGTGAAACTTAATAATTACCCTGATAAGTTCGTCAGAAAGTATGTAGGGAAATGTAAAAATAAATAAAAGAAGGAAATTAGTGATAGTGATAATAGTAATTAATGATAACAATAATGATAAAAATAAGATAGTGACGACACCAACAATAAGGAATCTTAATCATCAGTAGTATTTCCATACAAGGAAGGAACCTCGGAAACCACCTTACACAGAATTCCTAACAAGGCAGGCGGGAATAAAAGTGACTGGAATTCAAACTAACCATAAACTCAATTAGGAACAAGCTTTGTCGGTTAAAGGATCCCTCCTATGAAGCCAATAAAACAAAACAATTTAGTTTATCTAACACCCTGCCAGCAATGATTGTCAGGTCAAGTGCATAGGTCAAAGTAGTAGAACAGGGACAGTCAGACTAGCTGAACATAAAAACCTAGCAGCAAATTTTAGATTAGTTGACCCGAATATGATAATAAGAGATCTAGAGAATAGTTCAGCCGTAGATAGCACTACATGCACCTACACACAACCATACAATAGGATGGATGGGATAGGAGGACAGTTTTAATGTCCAATGTCACAGGTGGAGAAAGAGATTGATAACAACGGAAGCCTTGTTTATCGAATCAACTGCAAGCACATGTAGCAGGAATGATTCAACACCTGTCCACCCATCTGGAAAATTCTACTACACCGACGACAAATAGGAGAGAACAAAGAAAACAACTATAAAACTCAAGTTTCGAAGTCGTGTGATTAATTATAATTGATGATATGATTTGAAAAATAATAAATTGTGTTCTCAACTTTGTCCTCCAGTAAATAATATGGTGGTGAGAGTAGGCTGCTAGCCAATTGGTAGACATTGATTTACGTCAATGTCTATGTCGCTAATATTGGCCGTGAGAAAATATGAACAAGACTGATTCAACAGCCAATCACAACAGACTTAACGTGGGCAAATACGATTCGCAGATATATGGCTTAACTTTATGAGAAACCGGTCACAAGCAGTGCAGAATAACTTTGAGCAAGAAACAACCAATCAGAAGACTGTGTTTGTCTGCTTGAATAAGCTATCATAATGTACATGAAATATATGTATAAATACGTGGTGATTTCGTTAAAAAACGATCTGTTACCTGGCCCTTCTGTTGTTACAATATTACTGTTTCACAGACTGTCTGATACATCTAATAGACAAACTAATATAGATCGTCCTTCCTTATAACTCTTCAATCGGACATAGCGAAAAAATCTTTTTCAATCATCCAGTGTTGTTGTTATTGTTGTTTTTCTTTCTAATAACTAATAACTAAACTTCATTAATCTCAAATCTGTGTGGAGGTCAACAGCACTCAGCATCAAAAATACGATCCGGATTTTCAACTCCAATGTAAAGTCAGTGCTACTATACGGATCAGAGACTTGGCGAGTCATAAAGAACATCTCAAACAAACTTCAGACCTTCATTAACAGCTGTCTTCGCTCAATACTCAAGATCAGATGGCCAGCCAGAAAAGATCAGCAACAGGGATCTCTGGCAATGAGCGAACCAGCCAACACAGCAGGAACCAATTGTGAAACAAATAGGCAGGAAGAAATGGAGATGGGTTGGCCATACTCTGAGGAAACCATCAAGTGACATCACTAGACAAGCCATTGCTCGAGTGGAACCCGAAAGGGAGGCGGCGAGTTGGTCGTCCAAGGGTGACTTGGAGGAGGTCATGCGAGGAGGAGATGAAAGCATGTGGAGAGACCTGGAGAGGGGTGAAAAAGTTGTCAGAAAACAGAAGGCAATGGAGGTGCGCAGCTGAAGCCCTATGTTCCTCTAGGAACTAAAGGATACAATAATAATAATAACTAATCAAGAATGACAACTATTCACAATCTTTCTTAGAGTATATTTGAAAGTTAAAGATTATGAACAATGTGTGAGTATGATTAAGTGTTTCAATGTTCAATGAGCGAGCACATGATATTCATCGATTCAATAGTAAAAAATTCACAACAATTTAAAATAAAGATATTATTTACAAAATAAATAAGGTAAACAAATCATTTGACCGACGTTGTTGTATGGAGGAGAAGGGACGTTCTTTTATAATAATAATAATTATTATTATTATTATTACTATTCAACTTGATTTTTGCGCTTCTTTCTCGGCCTTTAATTGTATTATCTCTGCTTTCAATAATTCAATTTCTTCAATCAATTTCATGTTAACTTTTTCTAAATTATCAGCATATTTTTTCAAACTTAATTCTTTAGTTTTTCTTGCTCTACGTGAACGTCTAGCAGCTTCATTATTTTTAACACGTTTTTCCCAATATGCTTTATCTTTTATTTCTTTCGGTGTCATTTCAGGGAAACGTCGCATACGTGGATTACACTCAACTGTTGGCAAGGTAGTTTTGATATCAATTAATTCTGGATAACTTGATGAATAACAACTTGGCGTAGAGGATATTGATGCAATTGATGGTGTTGTAATCATGATCTCTTTGCATTGATCTGTTTTATTACTTAAAGATTCTAATGATTTAGTTGTTGATAGACTTGGAAATGCTTTTGATGAGTCAGTGTCATTTACATCTAATGGGATAATAGCTGAGGTACTTTGTGATCGACGAGATTTTCTCTTGGAAGTTGATTTTCGCCTGGAATGATCTTTACTTATACTGCTAACAGTATTATCAATATCATTAGTATTAGTAGTAGTAGTAGTTATAGGTGTTGGCGGAGTGAGTGTAACACGGTTTTGTTCAGTATTTTCAACAGTTTCTGATGTATTTACAATGGTACTGGCTAAGATTAAAGGATCAATAAGTTCAGTTGATTTTAATAAAATTTCTTTCGAAATCGATGGAATTGTATTACCGAACGCTTTAAATGGTCTACGATTGACTGCTGCTGACTTCTGACGCTTTTGATTTGTTTCAGTTAAATGAACTAAATTTTGAATGTCTAATTTCCATTGTTGACTTAATTCTATACCATTTTTGTTGTCTGTATTCATGGAGGGAATACTTTCTATTTGAGGTTCTTTATACTCCCTGATACTGACAGCCTGTTCTGGTGAGTGCGATATTCCTGGTGTGTTTATTGTTGCTGGTGTTGTTGCCGATACTGTAGTTGTCATCAGAGATGTTTTAGCTTGTGATCGTGGCTTGCTTAATTTACGCCTAGACGAGGTTTTAGCATTTTCAGTTGGTAGATTCATTTCACTGGTGGGTTGGTTGGTTAATAATGACTTGACTGATAAATCTAATGGCTTGTCATTATCATTATCACCATCACCATTATTATCGTTATTAGTAGCTGTAGAAGTAGCAATTGTATTTAACTTCATCTCTTGAGGATGTAATGACATAGGGATTGATGAGTGACTTGATCTTCCAAGGGAGAAACATGATGAAGCTCTTAATTTGGTGGCGATTTGTGGCATACACGATAATAATAATGAGGAAGATGACGTTGATGATGCCGTCGCTAATTCTGTATTTAAGTTTAATAGTGAAGAATTAGCTGATAAGGATAAAGCTGTGATAATTGGTGAAACCCAGTTAAGATTTAAATTATACTGGGGAGTCATTGGATTTAAATTTATTGATTTATCGATTGTAGGCAAAGATGAAATAGTAGTTGGTGAAGTGGTAACTGTATGAGATTCCTCACCAGAAACCTAAAGGAAAAAAAATAATAATAAAAGTGATGTATGATAACATGAGTTTTATCCAAAAAACAAAATGATGAAATGAACTTTATTAAGTACGCGGGCGTATGGTGTTCCTCAAAAATACGATCAGAGCAGTAAATGAGTCATGTAGAAGTACTTTAGATGCAGTTGCAGTCTTGTATCATAACATTGTCTCACGTTTAGACAAGGGGGGGCTAAATTTGTTCGCTGCACCTTCCTAGATTACACATCTGCTTTCGACTCAGTACCTAGAAAGCTTGCTGAAACTCAAACTGACTGTTACATTGCCAAATGGCTGTATTCTTATTTCTCAGAAAGAAAGCAGTACACTGTATGTTAGGGAAGTCGTCCACTTCGTTGCTTACTGAGGCTTGTGTCCCTCAAGACGCTGTCCTTTCTCCTTTTCTGTTTTTTTTTCTTCTTGCATGATTTGCCTCACTCTGATGAAATGAACTTTGTTCAGTATGCCGATGATCCAACTATTTCAACGTCTGTTAACTCCCAACTAGACTGTACTAAGATGAACAGCTTTCTATCAGGAGTTAGCAAATAGTCTTCGTCTAATGGCCTTAAAATAAATCCTTCAAAAGATGTCAGACTGTTAAAGTCAGTTTCCGATGTAAAACAAAGTTAAATGAAGCTGTTGGTTCCTACGATCATTCCAAAATTGATGATAGTGATATGGATATCAAATCTGAAGTTAAGTATCTTGGAATAATTATTTCTTCTGATCTATACTGGTTTTCCTATGTCTTAGCGATTTCTAAAAGAACATTTCGTATGACATTTTACATTATGAAGAGGTTAAGACATTCAGGCCTAACTCAACTAATCCCTCCTCCTCTTACAGTTTGTCAACTTGTGCATCTTGCCTATTCTTTTTTACTCTTCACCCTTATTCTTTCCTGGACTGCTTAAGAAAGACTATGTCATATTTCGTAGAACTCTGAAGACTGACTGTCAGTAGGGTGAGTGGTGTACCATCCCATTAGACCATATCGTTGACATTGTCACTGATAGGCACTTGATGTCATGCAACAAATTTGATAAAGGAATCTTGTCAGACTGTGAGCATCCACTTTGGTTACCCTCAGCTTTCACCTTGCATCTCCTCAGGTAGAACAGGAAGTCTTTTCAGAAGACTTTATGCACGTACGTCTAAGTATAAAAATTCCACTATACCTTATTTAGCACGTACTTTATGTGATGAAAATAGTGTCAGGCATGAACTAACTAACCTTCTTCTTTGCACTATTAAATAAACCATTTCCTCCACCCTTACAGTATCAACCTTTATTGTTATTGTATTTCTTATATTTATAATCCTCTCATTTTTTATTTTTATTTGTTTATTTTTTCATAAGTGTGAACATCATTTAAGCTGTTTTATCAAACTGTTAATTTTGTATTTCCCCTCACCATACTATATCAACAGAATATTAGATTCAATACTCTATAATAACATGCTAAAATTTCCAAACTGAATCGACAATACTGTTTGAACCAAACTCACTGTTATTATTATTATATTTAATAATCTCAATTCGTGCCTCGAATATTTTTGACTTTATATCGTAAATGTGGACAAAGTCGTCTGGTTAATTTTATTTATATTTTGAGTAGATCAGATGCAATATTGTGAGAAATGCTGAGAATTCCATTCTGTATTATAAGTACTGCTCTTTTGGAATAAAGTAGATTATTAATACTATTAAAAGGGATTTTTTAAGTCTGTGAATGCTGCTGAATAAAGATTACCTCAATAAATTGTGCCTAGAAAGTATTATACATCGATGTGTTACTAGTTTTATGTGTTTGCTCCTTTGTACTTGTGCTAATTGAACTCTATCATTGTAGACATCAAGCTGACGTTGTCTAGACATTGCGGTGTTGTCTCGTGGTTCGAAGCAATTATCAGGGACTCCTGTATATAAGTTCTGTATTCACTATGACTAACACGTGTTAGCGAAACCTTCAAGGGATTGATGTCCCATCTGAAAACTGAACCCATATCTTGTAGTGCTGCAGTCAATAAAGATATCACTTGACACAAAATCTAGATCCAGAGTTTTCGCATCACACTAGACAGTAGTTATTCTAAATGAACTGAAGTTATTGCTGTTAAATCATTGTGAAATAACCGTCCTTAAGACGCACATGTCCTTTTTTAATCTACAAACTATAATGGTTGTAACCAGAATTCCGTTGGCCAACTTGTAGTGAAACTACTGACTTATGGGATCAGAAATCACAGGGCTGAGAAACTATGCAAGTCAGAAAACAGATGCGACATTGTATGTTAAAAGAAAGCAGCTTAACTCATTGTGCTGAGAACGAATTGTTTGAAAGTATGGCTTGTAATTCAACTGCTCCAAGCCTCACTACCTTCAAATAATTTATATAATGATTGATTTCCGAGTTGAAGTAGGTTTCTCGGATAAATATCAGTAAATAGATATACAGACTTGATTAAACTAATACCTGCCCGCCTATTCTGAAACACTGTCCTCAAAGTGAATGCTGATTAAGTTACCTAACTTGATACTGAAAACGCCTACCCCTGAACATCAAGAAATGGAACAGAGAGCAGTATAAGATTTAGTCCAGAAAGAATTCCAACTGCGAAACTTTAGGTATCTAACACAACAGCCTACTTTACATTTATATTTCTTCTTGAGCATGAGTCCGCCATAGTAATACTGGAAACCAGAAAAAACTCACTACCGATAAGAAACATCATACGTTTATATAATCACGCTATATAGTAATATGGATGGGGTTAGGCATTGAAAACTGGTGAATTCCTATTCAGGTAAAGCGTAAGAATTCTGCCTGTCCGAAAATTTGACCATCCTGCATTCTATCCTTTATGATGCCCTTTGGCTGAAAACTTCTAAAACGTTTGAAATTATGTTCAGTACACTTTCATTTTCTGCAGTTGTCTATTTTATTTTTGATTACAGCTTGACTCCACACCGTATTTTTGGTACAAGTATGGAATTTTCAGCGTGGATATCGCCCAAAATCCGCACAAATATGGTGTGGGGGGGGTACCCGCTTCGGGGAGAGCACCCTGTGCCACCGGCACAGTTGGTTTGCAAGCAAATTTGCCTTTAAATTTCTCGAATCAACATAAACTAAATAAGTTATTACAACTAATCTACTCTTCATTTTACTGTCAGTCTGAACAGTAGTCATTCATTTGATGGCTTTCAATAAGCTTTTCAGTAACTTTAGACAGGCTCCAATGGCAGCAGTTACTTGTGAAGGGCATAAGACGTTTATTTAGCCGACATTGGCAACTATATCTCAAACTACCTGATAAAATTTTTGGTGTTTTGCACGATAGCATAAGGTGAGTCGGTAGCACAGTAGTAGGATGCTCGTCGCCAACCACGCCTCATGTGGTCCATGGTTCGATCCCCGATTATAGACGCACTCTTCTACTTCGTTACGCCAGTATTAAGACTGGTAAAGAGGGTAGGTTTGGCATGAGGCGGCTAGCAACCCCATCCCGTAAAAAATAAACACCACTGCTGCCGAAACTTCAAGCCTCTAGCCTGAAGCCTCCCCCCTCCTGTGTTCCATTCGAAACGTAATGGAATTAAAGACAATAGCAGACGATCATCCACAAACTAATCAGTACAACATGCTAAATCATCTTTTGATGTGTAGCTTAGAAAACTGTTATAACAAGGCTTTACTCTATTCGATGATAGCCAACAGAATGTGATAAGGGTAGATTATTCTTTTTATTTTTTGATTGGTCAGCTGAATGTAATCACGTCTCCACTGAGGTGAATGGTAGTGTTCCGATTGGAACTCGAACCTGACATTCATAGCCATTGAACTCTAAATCGCTGTCCATTAGAATAATCAGGCAATAGTATCACTTTATAGTAATGTTTACAAACAAAGTCCAAGCATAAGCATATTCGCTATTTTTATATTACGAGTTGATCACCGATTGATATCAGTTAGAGAACCATTGAAAACCAGACACAGGGAATACTGGACAGCTGCTGTTTCATCCCACTAGTTTGGGAATCATCGGCAGTACGCACCAGCCACAATGGGGTTCGAACCCTGGACCTTCCGGTTACAAGACCAACGAGCTCGAATACCATTCAGCCAGTGCATGAATTATAACTTCTACCAATTCATGATTTAGCGCGACTCTCTGTCTGTCTGTTTTCGACATAGAACCTTGCACAAATGTGCGGAAGTTCAAGTCGCCACACTCCGTGTAGCACGCGAAGCAAGAGAAGAAAGTACAAGAAAAGCATAATAGAAACAGTGAGCAGAGGTGTGAGACAAAGGAATAGTAATAACGAAGAACAAAATAGTTTCATTGGAAATCATAAGTCACAAGGAGTGGATGCATCTTCGCTATGCATTGAGAACGATTTTGAGCCATATCACCAATTGTTTCCAACCATAGATTTTTACCGTCCCGAGGACCCCAGCCTGGAAGTCTACACCTTCCTACGTGGTTTAGACTAACTGTTGTGGATTTCATTGACTGGTGCCAAGTTTTTGTTTGACCGCCGCTAGCTTTTTTCCAGACTGACCCTATATCCGCTAACATTGCTCGTCGAGGGAGGCGATGACTTGGCATACGTAACACATGTCCTAACCATCTCAGTCTTTGTAACTTCACGACTTCGTCGATTGATTTCCCCTGTTTACCTAGAACTCTACGCCTAACTTCAATGTTGCTTATCTTATTATGCCACTTTACACGGGAAATAGAACGCAGGCACCTATGATCAAAGACAGCTAGTCTTTTCATGTCTTCCACTCTCAGTGGCCAGGTCTCACAGCTGGCCATAAAGGAGGACGGAGCGGACTGATGAGCAGTACACCCGCGCTTTGGTCGATAGTCGAACATCTCGTCTAGCGCGACTGGCACCAACCATTGTAGTAGGTGAGACATCCATCCTCAGACGAGACATCTGGATGGACCTTACTGGTCACGACTTCTC